TATAGATTTTTCTTTTTATAAGTATCCAAGCAGACTCTATTATAAACTCTCTTCCTAGGGAATCTAAAGATCATGCATGTATCTATTGATTACAAATTTCAAGAGTTCTACGCTGGACAAAATACAAAAATAGATATTACAAGATTTTCAAAACTATTTTTTCTTCTTCTTCTTTTTTTTTTTTTTTTTTTTTCCTAAATGATTTGCAAAACTATTCTCCAACAAACAAAAATAAAACTGAATGGTTAAATGGAGGAGCGTTGGCATACATCCAAGGAAGTGCAGATGTCAACTCACATGTTGAAAAGGTTGATGTCAAGTAATTTTTAATCTTAGATTAATAAAAGTTCAACAATTCTTCTCAGTCTATTATAGACTTTTAAGTGATTTCAGCTTTAAGGGGCCTTACTGCACATGAAAATTGGGTTCCCCCCATTTAGCACTTTTTCAATATATTCATGTGCAATTATATCAATGTAACTGACTATTTGAAAGATCTTTTAGCCCTCCCTATCTCCTCTCTCATATGTTCTGTTTATTTTTTGTTGTGCCAGACTTCCAATGTCTTGAGTCGGTGTCTAAGCTTCATAATATCAAAGTCATTAGACTAAAAGAATTTATGACGAACTAGGAGAGAAACTAATGTCAAACCATACTTTAAAAGCATTTAAAAAGAGACAATATTCACACTCCAGAAAAAGCCTCCTGCATGCCATTATATACTTTGTCATTTCCTTTTAGTTAAAGGAGTAGAGGAAAGGAGACAGGTGCTGGTTAATTGTTGCTATACGTGCAACAGATATGAAGAAACGGTTGGTCACCTTCTTCCGCATTGTCAAGTGGCCTGGGATTGTTGGGTCATGTTGTTGGGATTGTTTGGAGGTCAGCGGGTTATGCCCAGATCCTCCAGAGACTTGGTGGAGGCTTGGAGAGGGTGTATAGTGGGGGCCCAAGCCCGTGATTGCTGGAAGGTTACGCCTTTGTGCGCTTGGCGGTGCTTATAGCTTGAAAGAAATAAGAGCTTTTGAAAGAAAGGAGAATCCCATTGGTGCGTTGAAGTGTTTCATTATTAGCACTCTTTTTTGTTGGGTTCTAGGGAGAGATTGTAAATCCATGATGGAGATAGTTCATTTTTTGGACTCTTTTGAGAGTTTAGAGGACCTATTTGGCCTTGTGTAGTTTCAGAGGGATGCATTCCCCTTTTGAACGCCTTTTTTAATACAATCTTACTTATCAAAAATAATAATAATAATAATACTGTTTCTCATTATATTATTATATCACAATAACCATACAAGTAAGTGCTTAGTGTCCCACCTTTTTATAAAGCCAGTTCAGTAGTTCCAAGACAAAAAAGAGGAGGTTGTGTTAGGTCCAGAATGTATGAATAGTGGCAACTATGCTTGCTAGGTTGCATATCAACAGTAGCAACAACCATAACAATAGAAAAAAGAATAGCTACTTATTAAATAATATTAAGGATGTCTTCAATCAACCATGAGAAGTATAAAGTTCTAGATAGTTTATGCTGTTTGTGTGAGACAGAGGGAGAAGGCAGGTTTGCTAGTGTATGCTAGAACTCTTGATAATGAATTGCTAGAAATCCCAGGCAGCAATAACTTGAAATTAGGGGCTAGAGAATCAAGTCTGTTTTACACTGGTGGATCAAGGACTAAAGGAGTAGGTTCTGAAAGCAAATAAGTACAGCTCACCATAGATATATAATTTACAATAAATAGAATTTTTTTAATAATTTGATGATAAGGAATCTAAAGGAGGAAATCTCCAAAAGAAAAAACTATATACGAGCACTGCAAGCAAAAAAGAACAAAAAGGAAAACTCAATTGGCAGCTTAGTACGTCTAAGAAGGATTTCCCAAATGTTGAAGCTCCTCTAATGGCAAAGGAAGTTCCTTAAAACATTTAACCTATAGACAAGAGGGACATCACTGATTATTGCACAGAAACTCACCTTTATAAAAGGAATCTGCAAGACTTTACTTGCCACCTTGCACTAAACAATTAAAGCAAGTCATTAACCTTAGATTTCATGAAACCTGATACATTTGCAAGATTTGTTTCCATCGCCATATATATCATTTACGAGAAATTTAATTTTTTTTAAATAATTTGGAGATAAGGAATCTAAAGGAGGAAATCTCCAAAAGAAAAAATTATATACGAGCACTGCAAGCTAAAAAGAACAGTAGGAAAACTTATAGGGAAGCTTAGTACGTCTAAGAAGGATTTCCCAAATGTTGAAGCTCCTCTAATGGCAAAGGAAGTTCCTTAAAACATCTAACCTATAGACAAGAGGGATATCACTGATTACTGCGCAGAAACTCGCCATTATAAAAGGAATCTGCAGGAATTTACATGCCACCTTGCACTAAACAATTAAAGTAAGTCATTAACCTTAGCTTCATGAAACCTGCCTGATACATTTCCCAGATTTGTTTCCATCTGCGTAAGATATCAGCTAGAAGTCTAGAATACAAAACCATGGGTAGTGTAAATCCATCAAGATTCTCTACTTTGGTCCAAAACCAATATTCCCATAACAGGTATAACAAAAAAAATATAAAATAAAAACCTAGAATATGTAGTCATTAACCTTATGGAGAATTACCTACCAAAAGTATAAATAAACCATACATAAAATCACCTGTACCCCTTACCGAACTAGATCCAATTCATTCATTCATGATATGAACTCCAAGAAAATCATAGTTCCTGCATAAGCATCGAGGATAGTGAAGGTTGTTACCAACATAAAATCTAATACCTGTCAACAACTTTTAAGTAAAATCTTTTAAATACTCACAACAATTCTGACTTAGATATATTTGTCCAGTAATCTGCCTCTTTTCTTTACCTAAATTTTCTCAGACCACATAGACTACACCTGTGAAATCACTATTAATAGTCTATAGCAGAAAACTTTACAAGTCGAGCCATCCAAAGTCAACACTTTTCCTTTTGGCTGGTGCCATAAGAACCAAACAGTTTTCTTTTCTGTAAGGAAGAACCAAACAGTTTTAATTAAAATTTATTAGAAGTTGATGTAGCTCCACACTTTATTTATTAGAAGCTCTTGGGCCAGATAAAACACAGATGGGTATGGATATGGCATAAGTATCCAACACACTTCCTCTAAGAAGATGAGCCACCCCTCTATAAACTAAAAAATTCCTCGTTAATAGTAGGAATACATCAGTACTTATACTAGGAGAATCACCATTAACTCCACATCAACTTTTTCCATACGAAATAAGGTGGGTGATAACAACTGAATATGGTCTTGTCCAAACTCCTCTCAACATTAGATAGGAAAGATGCTTATGCCTATTGTCACTATCCCTAAAACTGACATTATATGAACTATTCACTCAAGAAAAGAAAAAAGAATATATACAGTATCGGGCTGTGCTCCCCTTTGAACGCTCTTTTATGAAATATTACTTATTTAAAAAATGCGTGTGTATCTTTCTTTATATCAAGTTATCAACTCCACATTTATAACTTTTAAGTAAAACTATTTGTGGAAGATATAATTTAATGAAAAGAAGGAACATTTTTTTAATTTTTATTTTTGCTTAGCAATGAACTCCACAATGCTTTTGGGGAGCTTAAAAGAAGGAATATTTATGAGACTGAAATAGTGACCCGACTATAAATGAGGCACTGAACAAAAAGGGAAAATTAAAATGTACTACAAAATATGGTGAAAGCTTAAACCCAATTCCATATAACTTCCCTCACCCACCAAATGTTCCATGAGTAATGAGTACATATTGAGTGGTGCAATTGAAGGGGGAGCCTAGGCTACTTTTTAGGATGTAGAGATGTCCGTTACACACTTAGAAACAATATGCTTTCTTCTCACCATTTTCAGGTTTAGGTGTCACGAACACCCCCCCTGGCGGCGGGGATATTGTCCACTTTGCACACTTTTCGTGCTTACAGTTTTCAAAACGCATCTACACGAGAGTGCCAGCAACTTCTCCCTCTAGGCGATGTGGGACGTTAAAGTCACCCTCTCTTAGGACCAGGTGTTCCCCACCCCCCCCGGCAATGTGGGACGTCACAGTCACCCCCTCTAGGGACCCAGCGTCCTCGCTGGCCTGACCCACACAAGCTAGTGCACGCTCCCCCATTTCTGGCTGGAGATCAGCTCTGACACCTAAGCTCACGATTTTCAAAATACGTCTACATAGTTAAGAGGCATCCATACATATAAGTGCCACCAACTTCTCCCCCCAGACAATGTGGGTCGTCACATTAGGGAATTTTTCTGCTTCCATTTCTTCATTTTCAGGTTTCATGAGTGACTTGAGCTCCTAGGGAAGAGCTTAATTTGTTGGCCATGTATAACTTGCATGTGCATGGATTTTGTCCCCTTTGGTGCCTTGCGTTTATACACATATATTTATATGTTTTGACTAGTCAAAAAGAATCAACACCATAAGGATTCTAATAAGCACTCCAGCCTCTTGAAAAATACAGCAATTACCACCTCCAAATTCTTTTATATAAAACTAAATGGGAAAGAATCGAGAAGATTCTAAAGACAGCAAATTCTTTATACAAGTTTCATTTTCCTGACCTACTGCCAATTGAAGAAATCATCAGAAACAGTTTCACAATGAAAAGTACAAAACAGAGTTCTTTCAAACATTTTTCCCTCATCATTATTCATAACAATGTAAGTGCTCCTAAGTTTTGACAAGGTTAAGCTTATAATAAATTAAATTGGCACATATTTCTTGTACAAATGAGGAAAGCACAGACAGAGGAATAGATGCACTTGATGAGTTGGTTGGCTACAGGAGCATCCTAATAATAGCACACAAGGTTCATTCATATCTACATGATTTTCAGACATACATGGCAATGAAAGTGAGAATTCCGAAAAAAAAAAAAAACAGAACCAACCAACAAAAGCAGATGATTAATTACATGTCAGTTCATAGAAGCAGTCTACATGTAACCAAGCTCACCTGCTAGAAATATGTGAATATCTACCCAAGTCATGCTCCAGTTCTTTTGCAACACCACCACCTAAACCATTCTGGTGTTGTCTCAATAGATCCCAATCTGCGGTTGTTTGAGGATCAGACGAAGAAATTGGCATGTTCCCATGAGAATATGCTGGCCGAGGAACCAGTTCAAGCCCATTTTTGTTCTGTCAAAGAAACATAGGAATTTGAAAAAATCATCATGACATTCCGGGAGGAACCATAATAAGATATGAGAGCATACTGAAGCAGTAAGTGCAATGCCAATGGAATGAGCTGGTGATTGAGGAGCAAAATTTGATTGGTTCGCATCAGAACGCCACGGTGCCAGATGATAATGAGATTCATTTAGCTTTGCCTGTGACCATCAAAAGCCACGGTGCAGAGTCAGGACAATCCAATCATTGAGAAAAAAGAATGGTTGAAACTCCTGTACTTAGCAAATTAACAAAAGCAAGGTTAGATTTGCTATCAAAATTACAGGAAAACCAATAAACACAACTTCGTAGTCTTCACAAATCTATGTAGCACACCTCTGTAATATTGAGCTTCTCTTGCAAATGTTTAAACAGAACCTGCAAGGGCAAATTTCTAAAAAGTAAACATCTTGAATGCGATTTCATATAAAGAAAGACCTTTATACACACTTCCTTTATCTGAAAACATAGACATCATTGTTTTATTTACGACTGTAAATCGATATGTCAGTCATTTTACATATCTGAATTAAAAAATTAAAGCATCCCCATGAGAAATAAGGCTGGAAAAGTGTAATTAGGTCAGGAAGGGGAAGCCGCTACTTGCTTGTTATATAGTTCATGCCCCATGCTCCAATGGGTCACTTCACTCACTTAAAAGCCAGCGAGAACGATATATTTATAATTGGTAATTGCCTTTTAATAGGGAATGTCTTAACTCTCCACCTTCTGGGGGGACAAGTAAAAATACACACACCCAACTCAACACAAACACTCACACTAGCCCCAAGGGGGGCTTCAGCCCCAACCTCTCACATGGAAGGATGAGGAGACCACTTGAGCTAAAGGCTTGGTAAGAAATGTCTCGCTCAGAAATAGAAAAGGGAAAATGAAAGGAAAGAACAATGAGAAGACACCATATGATACTTGAAAGATACAAAAGACAAGAACCCAAGATCAAATGGCAAACCCCCCTCCCCCTCTTTAAGTTTATTCTAGATTAGTATGGTGCAGCCAGTTTCATTCAGCCTTCTTATGTTTCAAAAGCCAAGGTTATTTTAGTTAAATCCAGAGATTTTCTGGCATTTATATGTTTGTGGCGTGTAGGTTTTACTTTGAGCCTAATTATGCTATTTATTACATTTATTCTTTTTCAATTCAAGATCTCAGTTGGCAAAGATTGAAGTTCCACTACCATATATATAGCTTAACTGCTACTCCTGCTCAATATAGGAAAGATGCAGACTTCAAGTTCCAGTAGAGTAACATAGGGTTAAACGGTATTGGGGGATGGGGGGTTATGTACCCATTTTTAAAGTTTCCAATTTCTAAATCCTAGTTTTTCTAGATTTAGAAGAAATCTAGCAGCCTATTGATATATTTGTATTTTTTTTCAATTTAATTGACCTGAGTCTAGAGGGGCTATTATTTGGTGTCATATAAAAGCTCAGACTAAAAGGCGAGAGGTTGCAGTTCAATCACTTTTATGTATCTTTCAAGTATCATACAAATATAAAAGTGACAAAAACAGAATTAAAATTGAATCCAAATATTTATCTTTGCAACAAGCATGCAAACAAGAAGAAAATCAAATCATTGTCATTGTCCTTGCTTGTATCCAATATGAGTGGGTGGACCACATGGATTCTCTTTTTCCACTCTTTTCTATTACAAGTCATCCTATTATATTTAAACATTTTAAATTACCGATGCATCAACAGGTATACTGTTCCCTTATTTTATCACTCATAGTCATAGGCTATGTTACATGGACTCCTAAAATTAGTGAAGTACCCATGTCGGACACATGTTGCTAGAACATGGGTATGGAATATGTGTCTGACACTTTTGGTTGGACATGTACTTAAAAAGCATATCCAATCATTCAATTTTACTATAGTATAAACTAGGAAAAAATGTATATATTACTATTACTTTAAATGAGTTAAATGTGTATATTGAACACTATGTTACATAAAAACATTACTTCACTCTAGAAAATAAAATGAAAATTTAGTAGTGTCCATGTGTCCTTCTATTTGGAGTTTTGACATGTCTAACACATGGATACATACTCGGACCCGCCACACGTACCCAAGTCCATGTAACATAGCTCATAGGCGTCACTCTAAATTTTTCCTTCACACATCAATTATTAAGCCTCTCTTCTATGCTTTCCTATCATCCATCTCAGCATCCTCATTTCAGCTACATTAACGTGTGGCTCCTATTTATTTTTTAATGTCCACCATTTTGCTCCGTGTAAGATAGCTAGCCTAATAACCGTCCCATAAAATTTTCCTTTTCATTGCTCTCATTCCGAAGAAGGGGGAGTGAGACCTTATGTTCCCACCCAAGTAAAGGACTGCAGATTCAACAATAATAGAAGGTTTTTTTTTTTGGTGGGGGGGGGGGGGGGGGGGGGGGGGGGCGCTTCTAGATCGAGGAGAGTCTTGGATGGGTCATCTCTCTCAAAATGATTTTGTTGGAGGCCGTCAGATTTTGGATTCAGCCCTTACTGTTAGCGAATGTGTGAATTCCAGATTGTGTAGTGAGGTTCTTGGTGTTCTTTGCAAATTAGGCATTGAAAAGGTGTATGATCACGTGAGTTTGAGCTTTCTTCTCTATTTGCTGTAGAGGATGGGGTTTGGTATGAGATGGAGGAAATGAATTCAGTTTCGTATTTCCCGTGCTCGCTTCTCAGTTCTTGTGAATGGAGCTCCGACGGGATTCTTCTCCAGCTCGAGGGGATTGAGACGAGGATCCGTTTTCGCCTTTCTTGTTCCTTATTGTGATGAGGCCCTTAGTAGATTGATGAGGAGGGCTATGGATTTGGGTTTTCTGAGAGGCTTTAGGGTGGGCAAGGATGCTGCTAATTAATTGGAGATCCCTCACTTGATGTTCAAAGATAATATTTTAGTGTTTATGATGCGAATATGTCCCAGACAAGATATTTGAGATGTTTTTGATTTTGTTCCAAGTTGTCTCTGGTCTGAAGGTGAATGTGGGGAACAGTGTTTTGGTGACGGTTGGGGAGGTCCTTGAGAGTGCATCGTTAGCTGATATCCTTGGATGTTGTGTTCGATCCTTTCCCATTTCTTATTTGGGTTTACCCCTCGGAGCATCCTCAAGGTGTGTGGGGAGTTGGGATCATGTTATTGAAAGATTCGAGAGACTGGCGGGATGGAAGAAGCAGTTCCTCTCCAAGGGTGGAAGGGTCACTCTGATTAAGAGCACCCTTTCAAGTCTTCCCACTTATTTTATCTCTTTGTTCTAGATTCCCTCTTCTGTGGCTGAGAGGATTGAGAGATTGCAGCGGAATTTTCTTGGGGATGGGGGTTCGGGGGAGGAGTTCAAGTATCATCTGGTTCGCTAGGAGCAAGTGTGCAGTCTGAGCCGGGTCAAAGGCTTGGGTTTTAGAAGATTGGTGTCTTTTAATAAGGCTCTCCGTGGGAAGTGGCTTTGGAGGTTTGGGATTGAGAGGCATAGGTTTTGGAGGAGGGTGGTAGCAAGTAGATTTGGGGAGGGGTGAGTAGGGTGGAGTTCCCTTGAGGTGCATATTCTAGGGGGTGTGGGGGTTTGTAAACTCATTCGGAAGGGGTGTGGGGGTTTGGAAACTCATTCGAAAGGGGTGGGATGGTTTCTCTAAACACATCAGATTTCGACTCAGGGATGGTAGGAGGATCAGTTTTGAGAGGACGTTTAGTGTGGTAATCGCTCTCTTGCTCTCGCTTTCCTCCTACTCTTCAGGATTGCCACGGATAGGCATGCCATGGTGGTCAACTGTTATCGGCTTAATAGTGGGAGATCGTCTTGGGATGTTCGTTTCAGGAGGCACTTTCAGGATTGAAAGATTGAGGACATCATTGGTTTTTTGGAGTTGCTATATCGCCAAGAGATCACGGGTCGAGTTTCTGATGGATGGGTGTGGGTCCCTACTTCCTAGGATCGTTTTGATGTTCGGTCCTTCTATAGGTATCTCACGGAGAAGCCAGGGCCTCTTTTCCTGTGGAAGGCTGTTTGGCACACTAAGCCCCCCTTAAGGTGGCCTTCTTTGCTTGGACATCTGTTTTGGGGAAGATTTTGACCCAGGATAATTTGAGGAGAAGGAATCAGGTTGTGGTCAACTATTGCTAAATGTGCCTTCATGATGAGGAGACGGTGGATCACCTCCTTTTGCACTGCACCATGGCCAGGGATTGTTGGGATTTGATGCCTGCTTTGTTTGGAGTTCAGTGGGTCATGCCCAAATCCTCCACAGGGTTGATTAAGGCTTGGAGAGGTTGTATAGTGGGGGCCCAAGTCTGGAATGTTAGGAGGGTTATGCCTTTTTGTGTTTGGTGGTGTATTTGGCTCGAGAGGAACAAGAGATCTTTCGAAGGAAAGGAGAATCCTATTTCAATGCTTACGTTCTCTACTATTTCCACTCCTTTTTGTTGGGTGGTAGGGAGCAATCATAGATCTTTAGAGGAGATTGTTGATTTTTTGGACTCTTTGGAAGTTTAGACGCCCTATTTGGCATTCGCTCCCCTTTTAAGCACTTCTATACATTTTTACTTATCAAAAAAATAAAAAATAAAAAATCCTTTTGACTTATTTGATATTCGTTTGTCATATTGAAGTATAGGACACCACTAACATGTTATTAATGTCCTCACTTAAAAAATAATAATAATAAAATAATAAAATAAATAAATAACAAACATGTTATCTATGTCCTCATCCTTTTGTATTATTGATCCTATAAAACGAAAATAGTTAGTTTGAGTGAGGGAGAGGGGAGGGACGGATGAGGCATCCCTAGGGAAAGGATGGTGTCTCCCTCACTTCATTTAAATTGAATGGAAGGGTAATAGAAAGGATGGATGATGTGACACCGTTCTTTGTTTGGTTGGAAGGAAGGAAATGAGAGTTCTTTTTTCTTTTTCTTTTTTTTTTCTAGTATACCCTCATTATATAAACTAATACAAAGTAGGGTTTAACAAATTAATTTGGTAAAAAATTGTAGGGTAAAAATGGTATTCCATATTTATGGAGCAATTTTTATTTCTTTTCCTCCTTTCTTCCGCCCAATTTTGGATGGATGAAATAATGTGGCCAGAAGGAATGCTTCATCCCTCCTTGCTTCCTCACTTCTCTTCCTTCCAACTAAACGATGGAAGCTTCTTCTATCCTTCCAATCAAACAAAGCATTATTTCCTTATTTTTTGACATTATAATAAATTAACATTCCATATATTTTGTTTTAATTTTACTAGTTCTTAAGTCTTTTGCCTCTAATGCATTTCTCTATTTCTAACTTTATTGCTAGGGCTTCTTTAGATATATCATTGACAAACAACATGCAACATAGAATGTCGGCAAGGGCTAGGGCTGCA